TTTAGTCAATGGTCTACATGTAGATTTAAGTAGATGGAGTGAAATGAAAGGTGCATTTGCTTTTCATGACCTCTGTTTATTGATTTGAGCAAAAATATAAGAATATAAGCCTGTAATCATGTCTTGTTTATATAGATGTTATATTGACATTGTCAATAATTGTACATTTACATATATATTTTGTTTCAATATTTTCAATGGTGGTGAGTAAATAAATTCAATTTAGTTCACTTCGATTCAATTCAATTCAATTCAATCACTAAAATTGTGTTTAATTGAAACCTACAACTGGAACCTACAATGTGGTGCTTTATTTGTTCTTAATCTTTTGCTTTAGGGGTTAAAAACATTCATCTAGATACATTTAACTATTTTTAGTGAAAGAATTTGTAGAAGATGTTGTTCATTATAAATCACCTTATTAGAAATTAATGAAAACATAATCTAGTTCATGTACATGTAAATAGTTTGCAGCAAAACAAGTCTGCGATGAATTTATCTTGATTAGAATTTAATGGATAATCAAGATCCTCACATTTTTTCATTTTCATATCCTTTGAACACCACACAATGGAATGCCAGCTGTTGGTCTATCAGTGTGCGCTTGTTCAGTTAGCGCGGATGCCATGCATTCACCCACACTGTTCAAGCTCCGTTAGCTATGCCCATACAACGCCTACTCCTGCTGTGTGTGGAGAGATGCACTTACTTGCTGTGGTGTGTTTACACTTGAGATGAATGGTAGCAGAGAATGATGTTATTGAATGTTTTGGGTTCATCCACACTGTTCAAGCTCTGTTAGCTTTGCCTATAGAATGCCCACTCCTGCTGTGTATAGAGAGATGCGTATGCTTGCAATTGTGTGTTAACATTCAAGGAGAATCGTTGAATAAAACAATTATTTAGAATGTGAAAATGTTCATCCGCACTGTTAAAACTCTGTTAGCAATACCCATAGAACACCCACTCCTACCGTGTGCATGCAATGGCGTGTTTACATTTCAGGAGAATCAGAGAATGGTTTATTATGTGCTTAAAGCATTCATTCATATTTTTTCAAGTCCTGTCAGGAATACTCATAGAAAATCATATTATCATGCCATATTTACATAGCTACATTTTTATGTGTAGTGATTAGACTCTGTGGTATGTCAAAAAAGATCAGAAAGAATATGAGAGATTTTGATAACATATCATCACATTTTTATTGACAACATACAATTTTAAAAGTAGATAAATCCATTTTGTGTAAAGAACACATTAGCGGAAACATTTTGCATGAAAGCAAAATAGCAATACAATACACTTCACAAACATTTCTATTCAAAGGAATGTTTCATATCATGTTGACAGTCTATTATTGCAATTCATACTGACAGCATTGAGACTATGGGAAATGAAACTACATGTGTTGTGAAGAACGGAGAATTCGAAACATATGTGAGCTGTTCTTCTGAGTATCTCAGCTAATGCAAGATTTATCCCTATGCACCACTGTGCGTGATGTCCCTTGAAACGAGACTCTGAACGTTCGTGCGGGGGTGACATGTACGTGGGAACGAAGGATCGCTATACAGATTCAATGCTGTAGTGGGAGGTTACGGAGCCCAGCCCATGCATGTAGTGTATCATTGTAGACAGATGGTAGAAGAATATACCATGGTCCTCGGGAGTGATAGAGATGTCATAGCATATTTACCAATGAAATTTTTTATTTGCGATGTATCAAACAGATTTGATATCAAGTCCAGTGTACCCTATGCTCTTTTATGCAAGGATGAGTCTATAAGCTATTTGACTGATATTTATTGTAAGTGAATAATGTTTCTATACCTTCTAAGGGTAGAAGAATTCTAATTTGTAGGAAACTTCATAGAAAGTCAAAGAAGAAAAGAGAAAATCTGATATTTAGTGACTTGATCAAACTAAGGTTCTTCAAGTCATCAAATGGTCTTGTGCTTTAGATTAACACTTCACAAAACAGAAAAAACTTTCATTGATTGTGATAGAGAATTGTAAGAACGGTCAAGCTTCGTGAAATGATTCAATTACATTATTTATTTTAATTTTTAATGAGTTAAGTTTCTTGCTGTGAAAACAGTTGTTTTTACAGATTTGCAAAGTATCTTATCTCAGACGATGCTGTTTTGAAGGGTGATACAGATGATGAAAAGGAAATGGTTGATAAGAGAAGAGAAATTGAAGAGAGCAATGAAAGTGCAATGTCAGTGAATGCAGTTGTTGTTGTTGTTCTTTTGGAAAGAAGGAAACCATCCAGGGCCGACTGTCCAAAAGAATAGGAGGATAAGATAGACATGAAATGACCCTTAAGCGATGGGTATCTTTTTCAAGCCTGGCTTGACATCATGCCATCCCCTCTCTACCCCTAGCAGTGTAAGATACCCAGGTTCATGGGAAGTCTGCTGCCCTGACCATGCACGAAGCGAGAAAAACCTGGACAGATTGGAGGAGCAACCCTAGACATGGATGATGAGGCATGTAATATCTCATGTTTGTAGAAGGAAACGACGAAGGAGGAGGAAGGGGGGGGGGGGGGGGGGGTGGAAAGACGTTATGCCATCTGGGTTCATAATAAATGGAGGACAAATAGAATATTCTTTGATTACAGACAAATCGTCCCTATTTTCACGAAGTGACGGTAGTGAATGAAAATCGCATACAATTTGCGTGCAGATTTTCCTCACTACCGTCACTTCGTGAAAACAGGAACGAAATTACTAGAAGCCTAAATACAAGAGATAAACTGTAAGGATATAAAATGTTTTTATATCCCTTTTTAGATGTTTTGCTTCATATTTCATTATTGTGATTGGGAAGGAGAGTGGGTAAGGTGGGGGGAGGGTGTGCTTAGTATTGCTCTCCAGGGTTCATGATAAATTTATGATATTTTGTAGACATTGTGTCCCTATAAAATATAAATGTTCTGTGATCAGAGAAATATTATACAAGTGCTAAAAACACCAAACATAAGGAGATGAAATGCTTTTTCATATTGTGTTTCTGCAAAGGGGAAGGGAAGTGAGTGAGATGGGGAAAGTGTTGTGGTATCTTGCCTTATATTGTCATGATAAATTGATGACATTCAATATACATAGTGCGTATATAAATATTCTTTGATTACAGAAAATATGGAGGCGTTAAAAAGAGATAAAATATTTATGAGATGTGAAAGTGTTATTGTGGCTCCAAATTTTTTAAGTCTTCTTTTATCACTGAAAGGGGCGGGGAAGGGTTTGGAGATAAGATGGGTTAAAGGGAATATGCATCTTGAATCTTGATTCATAAGAAGTGGATATGATGATAATATATGGAGAAATTGGAGAGTGCAAAAACAAAAAAAAGTGTGATGTCTGAAGAGATGAGCCACCATTTGATGCCATGGCTCCAATTCTGTTTGGTTTTCCTTTTAGTGCATGCAGTGGCTGGGGGAATGGGGCCTATCAAGGGGTGAATGAGGTAAAATACAAGAAAAAAGGGTTTAGCCCAATCAAAAAGTGTTGGAATTCAATACTTAGGATGTATGATATAATAGTGATACATTGTCCATCTAATTTTTGTAATCAACCTTACTCCTAAATCAAAATTATTATACTTCATCTAATTCAGCTTACCAGTAATAGCATTTTTGACTCAAGATTGGCATTTGAATCTTATCAAAATATTGACTTCGTGATTTGCAGCATAGTGGGCCTGAAGGGACCTGTGTCTTGAGATGACGTTACCATGTGAATGAATGAAAGGTCATAACCCCTAGTGACTGAAGTCATTATTCATGTACGCTATACAATATGCATCTGTGCTAATTATACTGCATACATGCTGACGTACAGGGGCCAATGCCAAAGAGGGGGTACTTCATTATAGTCATAATATGATGTTCCACAAGGTATAATTATCATTATACAGTGCAGTCATGAAAGTTGATGTTTAGGGGAAATTTTAGGGAGACCTTCAATTAGCCTCAATTTCAATTAAGAAATTTATGCGCCTGGAGAATTATATGATAAAAGGGTATAGTATGTACCTGCATATTTCGTATTTAGCCATTATGTTTCCCCCACAATCAAATGATGTCAGGTTATTCACAAAAAAGTACAGAGTAAAGGTTATGTAGTGGAGTTGATGTGCCATTCATTTCAACAATTTGTATTTACATATACACACAAAACATTCTATATCAGAACGAGAACATTTGAATCCACGATTAAAGATTCTAGGATATCTTTAATGCAGGGCTTGGCACTAACAAGTGCCCTGGACACATGGGCGCCCCAAATCTAAGTTAGGACCCCCCCCCCCCCCCCCCAAAAAAAAAAAAAAAAAAAAAAAAAGAAATTAAAGTTTTTACATAGGACTGATGCATACTATGAGGCGCCGTTTGTAAAACAATTATATAGACAAATTATATGTTATATAATCATTATTTAACAAATAATAACCATTATTTACATATAATGCAAGAAAATGTACATTTTTATTTGTATATAATTCTTAACACATTTTTATTATTTATAAATAATGACAAAGAACGTTTCATTATTTATATATAATTGCCATTATTTATAAATAATTACAATTCACACTTTCATTATTTATATATAATAAAAAGCGTACTCAATTATATAATATATAATGAAAAGCACATTTCCATTATATAATATATAATGAAAAGCCATTTCCATTATATAATATATAATGAAAAGCGTATTTCCATTATATAATATATAATGAAACTCACATGTCCATTATATAATATATAATGAAAAGCGTATTTCCATTATATAATATATAATGAAAAGCACATTTCCATTATATAATATAATGAAAAGCGTATTTCCATTATATAATATATAATGAAAAGCACATTCCATTATATAATATATAATGAAAAGCACATTTCAATCATATAATATATAATGAGAGGCGTATTTCCATTATATAATATATAATGAAAAGCACATTTCCATTATATAATATATAATGAACAGCGCATTTCCATTATATAATATATAATGAAAAGCGCATTTCCATTATATATTAAATAACGATTGTGTATGCAAATGTCAATGGTTGGTAACGCCCATAATATGAATATTCATGAGCTTGACTGATATTATTATCCTCTATTCCAGGCACCTTTCCATTTTGTGTTCTTTGTGCATTCTTATCAGAAATCCTACGTGCGGTAAATAAGTCTCTGTATCACCATTCTCCTTCTTATTTGTATGCAGATTTGGTTATAATGATTGATAACTGTAATCATCCTCATTATTTTAATAATAAATTTTTCTATCTGTGATGGAAGTTTTTATGTACGATTGCCTGATCTGAAGACAAGACTTTCGCTGCATGCATATTTAATGTATGACGTCACCCACACAGAGTGAGAGCTCGAGGTTTTCTTTGAAAGTTTGATGGTGAGTACAGCTGTAATTACGTTCAAATCTCGTAAATTGAATCATATTTATAAACATATCTGCTGTAGGTATGAATCTGCTGATTTGTCTGTACATTGTGAAGTGGTTTAAAATGGTTATTACTGATGAATTTAGGAGTAATCTACACTCGAACTTTTGATTCGTTATTTATCGTCGTGAGAATATTTCAGCTCGATTGCCATCGTCACTCCTTGATCCTTGGCCCAAACTTTCGGGCGAGACCCTCTCTGAAAATTAGATACGAGTATAGGGTCTATAGGCAGATCACTTCACTAGCGCTAGCTGCATCAATGATCCAAGCTTTTTGTTACTTTTAGGTCCAACTGTTGAAAAACTACTTTCATAGTTGGGTCAGAAGAAAGTTAATAGCTAACACTAAAAAGCATGGTCACAGTTGACATGAGTTGTGAACAAGCGCCAAAATTTGGACCAGATACCGAGATAGATAGACGAGTACGAGAGTAGAAAATTTGAGGCCTAGGCCTACAGACCAGTAAATAATTGGACTACCTGTGAACAGGCGCGGATCCAGGATTTCTTAGGGGGAGCCCAAATTTGAAAAAAATCTGCACCACCCCACTCTTTCATGCAGGTTCCGCTAAACGTTTCTCTAAGTAGGTGAAGGGGGGGGGGGGGGGAGGTATTTACGATCAAGTAGAGCGTTGTGAAATTGGCTTGGTGTCTAAGGGCAAAGAACGTGCGGGGGTCAAGGTGTGGAACCCCCAGAAGCTCAGGGGTATAGGCATTTAATTGCGATCAGATGAGCATATTAGCATAACTTATTTGTGACACTGGCAGGACACTAATTGGCGCCACTATTCTTTCTTTCTTTATGAATTTGCCATTGTCCCACAAACGCATTAAAAAGTATAATTTATTAAACATTAAGGAAAAATCTCGGAAAATTATGTCATTTCAGCAACATTTGTAAATCACCGGTAATCACCGGTATCGAATTAGAAATAAACCACGTTTGAATTATATTTGGGGGGCATCTGTCAACCCCCCCCCCCCAAGTCCCCTTCCCCATCGGTACGCCAGTGCCCCTCCCCCCCCCCCAATCTACACGTAACTGATCTCCCCTACCTTTCTCTTTTTTTCTTTCCCTTTCTCTCCTATTTCCCTTTCCTTTCCCTTCCTACTCTCTGTTTTAGGTTTGCTAGGGGGAGGCAAGGGCCTTTTGGCCCCCCTCCCCGATCCACACATTGTTGGCGGGATTAATCGCAACTGTTCTCCCCTTCTTATCTCTCTTTTCTTTTCTTTTTCCTCTTTTTTGTTCCCTTTTAGCTCTCCTCTATCCCTTTCCCTTTCCCTTCCTTCTCCTTTTTTTTTGGGGGGGGGGGGGAAGGGAGGAGGAGGCAAGGGCCTTTCCCCCCCCCCCCCCCCGAACTACAACTTGTTGGCGGGAAAATTGCAACTGATTTCCCCCTTCTTTTCTTCTTCCTCTTTTTTCCTTCTCTTTATCCCCTCTTTACTTTTTTTCTTTCCCTTTCCTTCCTTCTCTTTTATTTTTTGATGGGGGGAGGGGGAGAGGTTACAGCTGGGAGGCAAGGCCCTTTCGGCCCCCCGATCTCCTTTTCCCCATTTTCTTTTCTTCTTCCTCTTCTTTCTTTCCCTTTCTCTCCTATTTTCCTTCTTTTCCTTCTCTCTCTCTCTCTCTCTCTCTCTCTTTTTTTCTCTGTCATATATAGATCTAGGTCCATATCTATTTTGCGTTTTTTCAATTTGATAGAATGAACAGTTACAAGACATGCATCTAGATCATCTAGAGACTGTAGATCAACTAGATCTGGATCAAGGAATTGAATATAAATTTCAATGTTAGATAATGAAGGAGGGCTTTTTTGGTAAAGAGAAAAGCCAAATTAAAATAGAACAATTAATTCTGCAAATGCTCATCAATGTTTAAAGGATCATGCTCATTTCCTTTTATTCTAAGAATTAAATCCCCCCCCCCCTCTCTTTTACAGGAAAATGTACAGAGACACTTGTTGCAGTTAATGCATGCAGTACCAAATGCTTGCTTTCTTGGAGTATGTGCTTGAAACAAGAATGTCCTGGAGAAAACAGACCACCCATAGGAAAGAAATGAGCCTGCCGCATACTCCTGCGGCAGACTTGCCGCAGATCTGCAGCAGACCTGCCGCAGACAGTCATCTTTTTCACATGCAAATTAGTTTTGCCGCAGACTTGCCGCAGACTTGCCGCATACTCTTTCAGTATGATGAAGAGTGCGGCAGACCTGCCGCAGACTCTTCATCATACTGAAAGAGTATGCGGCAGGTCTGCCGCAGACTTGCTGCAGACCTGCCGCACACTCTTTCAGTATGATGAGGAGTCTGCGGCAGGTCTGCCGCAGACTTGCCGCATACTCATTCAGTATGATGAAGAGTCTGCAGCAGGTCTGCCGCAGACTTGCTGCAGACTTGCCGCATACTCTTTCAGTATGATGAAGAGTCTGCGGCAGGTCTGCCGCAGACTTGCCGCAGACTCTTCATCATACTGAAAGAGTATGCGGCAAGTCTGCGGCAAGTCTGCGGCAAAACTAATTTGCATGTGAAAAAGATGACTGTCTGCGGCAGGTCTGCCGCAGACTTGCCGCAGACCTGCCGCATACTCTTTCAGTATGATGAAGAGTCTGCGGCAGGTCTGCCGCAGACTGCCGCAGACTTGCCGCAGACTTGCCGCATACTCTTTCAGTATGATGAAGAGTCTGCGGCAGGTCTGCCGCAGACTTGCTGCAGACCTGCCGCAGACTCTTCGTCATGAATATTCATATCTCATATAGACCTGCTGCAGACCTGCCGCATACTCTTTCATATCCAGTACGTGGCAATAAAGTATGCATGTAGAAGAACCAGTAATAAACTGATTGATACTTCATAATCGATATTGGCAATATCGATATTACCAATTAGGTAATACCAATAGATATCGACATTACCAATTAGGTATATTCTATTCTCAATTGTATTAACTTCATCACATTGATCATTTGAAGTGTATTCAAGAGTAAGGTGACACAGGCTCGTACACATATATATACTAAATATGTATATTGTTTCTTGGTTAGTAATCATAGTTTCTTCGTTAGTAATCAATATATCTATTGCTTAAACGTGAATGTAATTGTAACATGATCAGACAAAATAATCTATTGGTTAATAATGGCAAAAGGAAAATAGAAATCACAAAAATGATGTGCATTGTCTTAATTTGCTTAACAAATCATGATAAATGTATTTTTCTGTCACACGTGTAAAGTAATAATGAATATGCATGAGATGATTGGTTTCAATTGGCCCTATTAGACTTTAATGGGATTTCCTGTGGCAGACCTGCCGCAGACTGTTCCTGTGGTGTACTGGTATGCGGCAAGTCTGGAGCAAAGTTTCGCCCTGCCGCAGATCTGCCGCAGACTGTTCCTGTGGCATACTAGTATGCGGCAAGTCTGGAGCAAAGTTTCATCCTGCCGCAGATCTGCCGCAGACTGTTCCTGTGGCATACTAGTATGCGGCAAGTCTGCAGCAAAATTTCATCCTGCCGCAGATCTGCTGCAGACTGTTCCTGTGGCATACTAGTATGCGGCAAGTCTGGAGCAAAGTTTCATCCTGCCGCAGATCTGCCGCAGACTGTTCCTGTGGCATACTAGTATGCGGCAAGTCTGCAGCAAAATTTCATCCTGCCGCAGATCTGCCGCAGACTGTTCCTGTGGCATACTAGTATGCGGCAAGTCTGGAGCAAAGTTTCATCCTGCCGCAGATCTGCCGCAGACTGTTCCTGTGGCATACTAGTATGCGGCAAGTCTGCAGCAAAATTTCATCCTGCCGCAGATCTGCCGCAGACTGTTCCTGTGGCATACTGGTATGCGGCAAGTCTGCAGCAAAATTTCTTTCTGCCGCATACTTCGGCATACTCTTTGCCGCAGACTAAAAGTCTGCGGCAGGTCTGCGGCAGATCTGCGGCAGGTCTGCGGCAGGTCTGCGGCATACTTTTCACTTTCCTATGGGCACCACAAGAGAAGGTAAACATATTTACTTTTGATCTAACTTGATCTGTTTATTTTTTTTCAAGTAAAACAACATTTTGAAATGAGTGAGGTCAAGGCCAAGCTGGAGGGGATGCGAAGGGCTGGTTTGAGAAGTATGTATTAATGGGATGGCTATGTATGATTCCACATGAAAAAATTTGAGGCCTAGGCCTACAATGTACATGCAAGACATTTTTATGTTACAACAGAGATACATGTATGATGTAGGTATCAATGTTCAACTTTCATTCTCTTCTCTTTTCATTCAACAGACATACATGTACAGTATGGACTATGAAGTTCTACTTAGCCTCTTCAATGAACTGCTGTAGCTGCGACTGGGTATCAAAACCTTGGTATTATAAACTTCATAACCAGTGGCGGAGATATGTTGTTAGCCAGGGGGGAGGGGTCAGTGCCCCCCCCCCACTTTTTCAAGTACCCCCAGTATGCCCCTTTTATGGCCTTTTCACATAGGTAAAGTGCCAAATTACTTTGACAAGTTCCCCTATTAATTTGTAAAATTGCCCCTTCCCCATTTCACCTCTGATAAGTGCCCCTTATCCTTCGACAAGTTCCCATTATTCTATGCAATAAGTGTTCATTTTCCATTCTCATAACTGCCCTTTTTAATCTCTAGTAAGTGCCCCTTTTCAACTACGAGAAATGCCCCTTTTCACTTTTGATAAGTGCCCCCTCCATCTCCTGATTAGTGCTCTTTTCATCTCTGATGAGTGTCCCATTTTGTCTCTAATAACTGCCACTTTTATTTGACACGCCCCCTTTTCCTTCCTAATAAATGCTCTTTTTTCTGATCTTAAGTACCCCTTACCCTTCTCATAATTACCCCTTTTCATATCTCATAAGTGCCTTGTTTACTTTAACATGTGCCTCTTTTTCTTTTTAATAAGAGCCACTTCCCCATTCTCATAATAGCCCCCTTTCACCTCCAATAAATGCCCCTATTAAAATCTGATCTACACCTCCCTTTTTGTCTCGCCTACGAGCAAAAAGTGAGACATAGGCGCTGCTTTTCCGGTGACGGCGGCGGTGACGGCGTCAACATCAAAAACTTAACCTAAGGTTAAGTTTTTGAATTTTTGATATAATTTTCAAAGTTTAAGTTTTTAGTCAATGAAACTTAGACTATAGGGTTATCAAGTATTCCCAATCACGTGAGAATTCCCATTCTGATAAGTGCCTTTTTTCATTCCTGGTGAGTGCCTCTTTCTGTAGGTCTAAGAAGTGCCCCATTTTCACCTCTGATAATTACCCTTTTTACATGACACATGCTCCTTTTCCCCTTATCCCTGTAGTGTCCCCTTTTCCTCTCATCATTAAACGCGCCCCTAATTTCAAGCGACTAAGAGTAAGTTCCCCCAAAGCTCGCTCGCATTTATAGATGATATAATTACGTTACTTATTAAAGGTCTTTTCAGTCTTCCATTGTGAGAATGTGCTTATAACCCCATCAGGATTGGGTTTTTCCCTCTTAATAAGATGCAATTTTTTGTACTGCGACCTCACAAAACTTAAAATTTTCCTCGCTCGCAAATCAATTTTCATACCATCACACCAAACTGATACTTAAGCAATATCTTGTATGGTGTATAAAGAGAAACAAATGTTGAAATCGTCCCTGATAATGCAATCACAATGTAGGGGTATATACCATTGTCTAAAAAAATGGATATTTTCGCTTTGAGATTCCCTTTTTTTCCAGAAAGTGCCTATTTTGTTGGTGCCCCCCCCCCACTTTGGAAGACGCTCCGCCACTCCTGGGGGGACACATCAGTCAAAAGCGCGCACAGGGGGGGGGGGGGGGGGGGTTGAGGGGTAATGTGCCCCCCCTCCGAAGCTGAAATTTTTGAACCTGGATTTGGTCAAACTCCCAATAGATAAATATCATTCACAATTCTCTTCAAGCAGTACGTGTAACTTCACCTTGCAAGCAGTATGTTTAATTTTTTAATCACCTTGTATGTAAGGCCCTGTATTTCAGCTCAAATTGTTTAGTGATTGTGGACAGGCGAAGCAGGAAAGTAGAAAATTTGGCCTTCATACACACAACCACACCAGTGACACCATGAAACAGAAACACTATTACAATGATTACCGGTACTGAAACATAGTTTTCAAACTACCAAGGAGAGGTAACCAGGAACCAAGGTATAATACAATGATGCAATTTTACCCATGTTGTAGTAGTACATGGTAGTAGTACATGGTAGTAGTAACTATGGATATCCCGCCTCTTCTTTTATGCACATCCTTTCCACTGCTATCGCAAGTTTTAAAAAAGGGCCCAATGTCTGCATAACTAAGCAAGGTAGGAGTTCATTAAAAACATGATGTAAAACATTAAAGGTAAAGACCAGTATTGGAAACGCCCCAATTTCAAAAAATGAAATGGAAGCTCTCATTACCAATCATGTGAAAGAATATGTTTTGACTAAGACATGATGATAAAAAATTTGCCGGGAAACCGCCTACTAATTCATATATTTGGTAAATTTAATTCTCTCATGGTCTTGTGAGAGAGATAGGGTAGTCCCATATACATCTTTCTGTGTATAGTGCTTGTAACTTTACAAAGAATGGGCCAAATTTCTTATCATTTTGATGATTCCAGAACCTTGTAGATGCTAGATGCTAGATGATCAACCTTTTCTGATCGATTCCACAACGTTTCTTTCACAATGCAATCGCATGACCATTACTGGTCTTTACCTTTAAGTATATCACACCAAAGCATCTCAATCTGACAGCACGATGTGGAGAAAAGTTAATGGTGTAGATAAATACTCAAGAAATATGTTCATCGGCAGTCTAAGTCAATCATTTATAAAACTGAGGCTTTGCCAAGGCATCCATTTTAAGTATGTGTCTATATGGCAAATAAGATGTAGTCAAGTACTCAAGTTACCACCTGTCAGCCAAGATCAAACTTTTGGAATATAAGAGTTTTGGGGAGGGGTCATCTTTTATCAATTTCTGTTTATTGATAATAATTATAACATTTGGGAATGGGCCTATGAGTATGATTTATATATTGTATAAAACAAGCAACTGTTAATAAAAGGTCTGATATACCTTGGTGCGTGTGTGGACCACGGAGTAACCATCACACTAAAGGATGTTATATACTATTGTACAGTATTATTGTTTCTCTGGAAAAAATTGCAATCATTGAGTCATAGGTATTTTTTTTTTTTTTAAAGAAATCAGCATGTTTTTATAATGTGTTTTATAATAAGGGTGCAGGTCATGATACAATACATTCCCTGGAGAAAAAACAGTGCTCAGATTTAGCCTAAGTATGCTTTGTTGAATTTTTAAAGAAAAAAGTAATCTACAAATGGAAGTAGCAGATGAGGTCATTTGTGCTTAATATTTGACCATCAATGTTATAATCTGTAAACATATTAGTTTGTTGTAATAAAAATGAATAAATTAAACATGTTTATTATCTTATATACAGTATTCCCTTCATATCTTTTCTTTTTAGTGTGCATATATGGTTGGATAAATGGAATCATATGTGTAAAAAATCTGGAAACAGAACGTGAGAGTTCAGAGAGAGAGAGAGAGCAAAAGAGAAAGGAAAGGAAATGAGAGAACTGTTTAATGGTGAGAGATGTTGATGTCGTGAAAATGAAAAATTTATAATGCAGTGAGACAGCGAGAGAGAAAAAATTAAAAATCCATCTTATAAATGCGTTAATCGCCTCGCCGCTATGCGGCTCGTGGGCGATGCTCTGCATCGTCATAGGAACAACCCCCCCCCCCCCTTAGCAAAAAGCTAGATCCGCCCCCCCTAATAGGCCCTGACAATGAAATCTGGAGAACATACAGATTCACAAGGGCTGGACTACTCGGTCTCGTGGATCAAATAAAGAAATAATGGAAGTTATTATAAAAGTATGTTTTTCTCTCTTGTTATGATAATTGGAGAAAAAAAACCCTGTTAATTAGATTATATTAGTTTTAGCTTCAACTGTTTGATATTAATATGCATGTGGGCACAAATAGCAGCAACTACGGTTAGTGATATCTGCGGTATTCCTTGAGCTGCGGTAAATGATCTTATTGTATATGCCACTTACTGGTTTTCCATAGACCTGTGCACAAATGTTATCATATAATGCTATTTTAAAAAAATTCAATAGGATGGTGTACAAATCGAATATATTATGCCATTCTTTCCACTTAACTTCATGTTATTCAATATCCGTGTCATTCAAACAATACAGGCAAACATTCCCTGATGTCATTAAGTTTACATCAATCTATCTTGCTTCTCTCCTTATAAACAAGCCATCTTCATTGGAATTCACATCCTGAATTCCAATGAAGATAGACATCTCTCTTGCATTGTACATGAAATATCCATTCACTGATCTCCGCACGAAGTACCCTCAATTTTACGCACAGAAAGCTCACACTAACCCGTTACCAAAACCACCCTGAAATGATGACAATATTCAAAAGATCAATTCATTTGTAATCAAGTGTGGATTTTAATTCATTTGATCCCTTGATAGTCTGGGTTCGGTATACCGAAACAGGGGAGGGAGCAGCTTGTGGCGTGGAACCATAAGGACCAATGAGGTTCTTTTGGGACATAGTTTATATAAAATTACCAAGCTGAATCCTACCCTAATACCAGTCACATAAATCAATGCTCAACTGAGTATTTGTTGCATTTTCCTCAATCATGACTTGTTGACTTTTGTGCAGAAGTACTACAATCCATTGTTTGAGAATGTATATAGCGAGTAGTCCAAATCAGGAGGGTCGCAAACTCCTTCTCAACCTCCATTGTTACATCTTGATTCCTGAAGAGCCTTGTGATTTGAGATGAACTTGGGAGAAGTTTCCACGTTGTTTTGGAGGCACACGCTCCTTGTGCTGACTGCTCCTCTTCAGCAACTACTACAGACAAGTCCACTTGTATCTTTGTAACCAATTCCAATAAGCCAGCTGTTCATGAATAAAATGTTAATTGAAAGAAGAAAAAAAAATCCAATATTGTTACAAGCACTTTAAGATCTAAAGCTGACATCACAAGTATTTTTCTTTTTTTTCTTTCTTGTTGTTTTTCTTCTTCTAGTAATCTTCAAAGGGCTATTAGTTTTATATAAATTCACTGTTTGCTCAACAGGAGTACATTCCTTATTTTCCGTGCCAACGAGAGATCCCAGATCTCATTATGGTCTGAAATGAAATACCATATTGCCAAACATGTATTTTATTACTAATATACTACATGTCTGAGTAAAAGATCTAATCAAACATTCCGACCATTGTTTTAAAGACCCGTCAATACTACTGGGCCAGAAGGGATTAGACCACCCAGCCAGGTCACTGACAGGTGGCTATCTCATCAACTCAGCTCTCATCTAACATAAGAAAGAGAGGATCATGGGGGACCAACAGACACCGATTGGGGAAGTTTTCTATATAGAGAGAGCAAGTAGGACAGTGGGGCTTTAAGAATAGCAATTAGCATTCATAGAAATGGCATAGAATTTACATCCTTAAACTTTAAGCTTTGAAAACCTCGTTTTGATTCGAGTGTAACTTTTGAGTTATTAACAACCAAAAGTTTCCAGTGATTTGTTTTTGTTTCACTTTTAGTACACAAACATATTTTTCTTTATCACACTTGCAGGATATAATCATATAAGATAATTTGATCTTGTACTGCTTGGCTGCCCCCCCCCCCCTCCCCCTCTATTATACGAGTGTGAAAAAAGAATACAATTCTTTGTAGCCTTTCTTAATCACTAATCAAAATTTTGAACTTCAGTTAATGTTGTTTAAAGAATATATTATGAAAGTGAGATGGATTGCAGGTGGCAAGGGTGTATTGGTTGAGAATTGCAGGTAATAATTCATGCTCTACTATGAGCCAACTTACTTCACACACTATCATCTTGCAGCAGGGTAAGGTTTTTACAGAAATTTTAGAACTTGCAATGGGATGTACTTAAATATCAACTTTGTACAATAGCAGTATGTAGAAAGGAATTTAGGATAACCTGACTTTGGGTCTGCCAATGCTTAACACAAGCTTTATTTCATCAAGATATATGGTTATTGCTCAAGTTGTGATAGGGTTTTAGATTAGCTTTAGGGTTAATATTACGTTTAGCTATGGATCCAGGATTAAGATTAAGAATTCATTTTGTGTTACAACATAACCACTAAACAATAGAGCAGGTCGTAAAAATCAGATACACGTTTCACAAACTGGGGATCAGCGTATTTTTAGTTTACTAATACAAAGGAAGATTTTTAAACTGCCAATGATGAGTATCAATACATACAGCTCCACCAGCACCTGGAAAATCTGATTGTACGACACTTGCTCCTCAAGACATTTGCTCAACATCAATTTCCTACACTATTATCCAAATACTGAACTTCATCCCGGGATCCAACACTAGACCTTACCCTACACCTAACCTCAATCCCAATTGCAACCCTCGGCCTAACCCTACACATTTGACAAATAAAGCCTTGAGCAGTCGTTGCAGGAGCAAATGTTTGGTCACTCGAAATGCCATGACAGGCTCAGTTGCTATGACTTTATCTGTTTCTTTACCAGATTAAAAAAAAAATTGTAATATTCATTATTAATTACCAGTCCATTGTGCTTTGCTCCTAATATGTCAGGTACAAGAGGCCATCGCTTTCAGGTAAGGGGCAGAACATCAAGAGTGGAACCTCAAGGCACCCCCTGATCTGTCAACAGGAAGCCCTCCTTCTCAATCCCTGGAACAGAATTATAAACAATTCAATGAATATTAACCAAATTTGAAATAAATAGCACTATTTAATATTTTAGTTGTCTTTAACAATTACTTTTTCAGCAAAATTTGAAGGTCAGTTTTTTTTTTTTTTTTTGCTTGTCGTTCCTTTTCATGTATTGGACCCCCCCCCCCTTTCCCCCCTGCACATGAGCTTAAAATGTTAATTCTAAAAAGAGAAACACTTCAGCAACGTGTTAGTAGACATGTGGATTCATACATAGCCATCCCATGAATACATACTTCTCAAACCAGCCCTTTGCATCCCCTTCAGTTTGACCTTGACCTCACCTATTCAAAATTTTGTTTTACTTGAAAAAACTAAACAGATCAAGTTAGATCAAAAGTAAATATGTTCACCTTCTCTTGTGGTGGTCTATTTTCTCCAGGACATTCTTGTTTCAAGCACATACTCCAAGAAAGCAAGCATTTGGTACTGCATTAACTGCAACAAGTCTCTGTACATTTTCCTGTAAAAGAGAGGGGGGGGGGGGGGGGATTTAATTCTTAGAATAAAAGGAAATGAGCATGATCATTAAAACATTGATGAGCATTTGCAGAATTAACTGTTCTCTTTTGGATTTTCTCTTTACCAAAAAAGCCCTCCTTCATTATCTAACATTGAAATTTATATTCAATTCCTTGATCCAGATCTAGTTAATCTACACTCTCTAGATGATCTAGATGCATGTCTCGTAACTGTTCATTCTATCAAATTGAAAAAACGCAAAATAGATATGGGCCTAGATCTATATATGACAGAGAAAACTTAATCGTGTTTACAGCAAACAAAAATTCAAAGATAGAGCCTAGAGCAGAAGCAAATTAGGCTAAGCCAACAAAGAGTTTAAGAAACACACAGGCACCACTATACGTACCCCTGTGTACAGGGTAGTCTAATTTGGGGGGATCGTGTTTTAATTTGTTAGACAGCTATGAGACTCTGTACGACTAAGAGTATCACATTCACAGGCAGGCACGGATCCAGGGGGGCCGCCCCCCCCCCCCCACCCGCAAAAAATAAAAGAGAGAGAGAGATAGAAGGAAAAGAAGGGAAAAAGGAGAGAAAGGGAAAGAAAGAAGAGGAAGAGGAAAAGAAAAGGGGGAAAAGAAGGAGATCAGGGGGCCGAAAGAGCCTTGCCTCCCAGCTGTAACCTCTCCCCCTCAAAAAATAAAAGAGAAGGAAGGAAAGGGAAAGAAAAAAAGTAAAGAGGGGATAAAGAGAAGGAAAAAAGAGGAAGAAGAAAAGAAGGGGGAAATCAGTTGCAATTTTCCCGCCAACAAGTTGTAGTTCGGGGGGGGGGGGCAAAGGCCCTTGCCTCCTCCTCCCTCCCCCCCCCCCCCAAAAAAAAAAGGAGAAGGAAGGGAAAGGGATAGAGGAGAGCAAACGGGGAACAAAAAAGAGGAAGAAGAAAAGAAAAGGGTGATAAGAAGGGGAGAACAGTTGCGATTAATCCCGCCAACAATGTGTGGATCGGGGAGGGGGGGCCAAAAGGCCCTTGCCTCCCCCTAGCAAACCTAAAACAGAGAGTAGGAAGGGAAAGGAAAGGAAAATAGGAGAGAAAGGGAAAGAAAAAAAGAGAAAAAAGAAAGGTAGGGGAAATCAGTTACGTGTAGATCGGGGGGAGGGGCACTGGCGTACTGATGGGGAAGGGGACTTGGGGGGGAGGGGGTGACAGATGCCCCCCAAATATAATTCAAACATGGTTTATTTCTAATTCGATACCGGTGATTACCGGTGATTTACAAATGTTGCTGAAATGACATAATTTTCAGAGATTTTTCCTCAATGTTTAATAAATCATACTTTTAATGCGTTTGTGGGACAATGGCAAATTCATTCATAAAGAAAGAAAGAATAGTGACCCCAATTAGTGTCCT